ATGCTACCCACTGCGTGCTATACGAACGCCTCAGCCCTTCAGGATAATGAACAACTGGTCAACACCTTGTTGGCATGTCCCGAGTATCTACGAGGCACAAATCCCTTGACAGGCGGTGCCGTCGGAGATGGCTTGACCTGCAACGGCTTTCCGGCCGCGTTCTACTACCAAGGCATGGACAACATTCTGGCGCTGCACAACAATATCTGGACGCTGCCCATCTCATTTTTGCACAGCAATCATCGACCCGAGAAACCGCCCTTTTCATATATTGCGCTAATCGCGATGGCCATCAGCAGCGCCCCCAACCAGAGATTGACACTCAGCGGCATCTACAAGTTTATCATGGATAAGTAAGTTGCTCGAAAGCATGAATATTCTAGATCCTTAATTACCTTAGTAAAGAAAACCGTATCATATAGACGTTATTTTTAGATATATTGGAGAATTACTTAGGCTCGTAAATGCGAAGAAAAGATTTCTTGAGAAACAAGATAAAATTAAATACAAAAACAAATTTATCGATCGATTCCTACAGACCCTGCCCACATCTTTAATATCTTAGTCTTTGTTGATCAATTTTAATTAAAGTAACAATATTCCAGATTCCTAAGAACCGCTGTAGTTTAGAGCTTGCAAATATATGTTGGAACATCAGTGAAGTTCGCAATTTAGAAAGGATTTCTTGAGGAAGAAGCTAATAATTAATAATTAATACAAAACTTATTTTTCAACCAATTCCTTCAGATGCAGAACATATCTATAATATGTTAGTCCAATGTTAACAGATTCTGATTATATATAAGGAGTGTAAACTAAATGCTAAGGTTTACTCAAGATACATCCCAACCCCAACCCAATATTTAGCTGCATGAATTGACTGGAACTGAAAGAATCTCCTTTTGTCTGTTTATACAAATCAATAATATATATATACATATATACTATAATAATATAATATACCCTCTGCATAAAACCCTTCTCATAAAAGTAGTTAGACGTTAAGCAGACTTGTCGAATGCTTTGTCTACAGCCCAGAAAAATATTAATGCATGTACATGTTTGTATTTTACTTCCCATTAAAATATTTATGGAAATTATCTGTTGAAAATAAATATATAGAATTTCCTATACATAAACGAGTCGAGATGTCAGAAAATTTTGAATTAACACTGACGTCCAATTATTTTGGCGTGTTTCCAGTTTGGGTCGATAAACCAAGCATCCTTTCACATATATTAAATGAAGGCTGCAAAACCGTTTTAAAACCAAATCTTTCAACTGCTCCAATATATTTTTAAATCTGTAAGCAGCTGCCCCAGAAACAGCTGAAGAAAATCCGAATTATTTTGTTCGCTTTGTTTTCAAAATATTTAGGTTCAAAATAAGAAACCTTTCAGTTAGACCCAACTCTTATCTCTCTTATCTAACTAGATTTGGCAGATGCCAATTTAATGTAGCCCGCAATTCTCTGTGAAAATATTTAAAAAATGAAATATTTTCAGTAGAACGGGCATTTAAAAATTCAAAAGTGAAAAGTTTCATTCAATTTTAACGAATAAGAAGTATAGCTCTTCGGCACGCCGACGATTTCAATTATCTTGCAGACCCAACCTTTTCATAATGCTCATTATACTTCGCCCGTATCTAAGAAGAACGGGGAAAAAAGTTTGATTAAGATATTTTAAAAAACAAACAAGTTTTTCATACAAAAAGCAACATTTCGACGGATCGGTCCTATGGCAGCTATATGATACAGTGGTCCGATGTAAATAAGATTTTGCATAAATATAGGACATAATAAAACTAATAAATGCCGAATTCGGTCAAATTATCTTGATAAAAAAACCTAGTGTTCGACCGATCAATCCTATGCCAGCTATATTATATAGTGGACCGATGTTGATAGGACCTGACATATACATATATAGGGAGCATGGTAAAACTAATAAATGCTGAGTTTGGTTAAGATATCTTGATAAACATTTTTTTATACAAGAACCTAATTTTCGACCGATCATTCCTATGGTAGCTATATGATATAGTGGTCGGATCCAGCCGATTCGGACATATGTACTGCGTGCAACAGAAAGAGGGACTTCTGCAAAGTTTCATGACGATAGCTTTAAAACTGAGAGACTAATTCGCATAGAAACAGACGGACGGACGTGCAGACAGACGGACGGATGTACAGGCGGATATGGCTATATCGACTTGTCCGTTTATACTGATCCTTCTATCCCTTGTCACATTTGTAGAGTAAATTATAAATATATTGCACAAGCCAATCTTTGAACCAAAACCTGAATGAATGATAAAGACAAGTTTCACTTACCACATCTCAAGGCAGGAAGCCGGTTCCCTAAATTATATCGATGTTATGGCTTCGACTGCATTTGATTAAACCCGATCAATATATTCAAATTTTTCCAATCTACCTCACAGATTTCCCTACTATCGTGAGAACAAGCAGGGCTGGCAGAACTCCATCCGGCATAATCTGTCGCTGAACGATTGTTTCGTTAAGATCCCGCGCGATAAGAACACAATCGACGACAATGACAGCGCCGGCAAGGGCAGCTATTGGATGTTGGATGCCTCAGCCACGGACATGTTCGAGCAGGGCAACTACCGACGGCGCCGCACCAGGAGAAGACACTGCGCCAGCAGCAGCCGCTACGAACGGGACGCCGGAAAGGTATGTGTGTTGAATTCTCCAAAAAGACTAAACTCATCTCTAAGCAATCTGTTTTGCATATTCCCGTAGGATTCCAATGCGAGCAATGACGGCAGCACCATGGGCGAGATCAGATCCCCCGGCGACTCGCTTGCCGACTTTGATATATTCTGCGGCGAGGCCAATCCGGCTGCACTGAGACCCAACTATTCGGATCGCATCACGGAGCTACATCGCCAGTATCTATCAGTGTCTTTCGGGTTCAACAATCTCTTCAACAACGAAGACCGGAAGGAACCCATTCCTGCGCGAAGCCCGTGTTCGAGCAGAACCAACCAGAGCGCCGCAGACAATGTCCCGAGTAGAGATCCACATTCCCCGAGCGCCTTCACATCTCCATCGAGCGACGCGGCATTTAAAGGCTTGCAGGAACTGCTGGGCGATGACACGCCCACGTCGAACTCGGCGGCCGGCAACAGGTCAAAGACTACGACGCTCTTTACAATTGACAACATAATTGGCAAGCCGTAGTAATTGTACATTAAGACTAGATTGTCAATATTCATTAATTAATAATAATTATTAAAGTCGTTTTACTATTTGGATCCGCATAAAACAAAACATTTTCGATGGGTTGATGTAGGGTTTAACGTGTTTTTTTTTTTTATTCTCGAGTAGAAAACAACTCCTCAATTTTCCCATATCAAATACATTTATTCGGGCTTCTTGGACGAAACCTGAACGGGTTTTTTAGCCTTGACCTGAACGGGTTTCTGGGAGCGCAGAACTGCAGAGGCACGACGGAGAGCAGCCTGTGGACAAATTAACATTTAAAATATGCTCAGTTACAAGCTAATCTAGAAAGTATAAATATTGATAAATCAGAAAAGATTGCTCAACACGACACTTCTGCGATCTTGGTAGTATTTAAATCGATTTCATCATGAAAAGACTTCATCAATAGAAGGTTTAGCATATAGATGTAATTTTACCTGCAAGCATACAAATATATAGATTTTCATTAGTATTCCATTGAGATAAATATCGTTATTTCATTTAAATGAATGAAATCAAATCAGAAAGAATATTCAACACGATCGTTCTGCGATCTTGGTGTAGTAGTAAAAATATAGATATCATCAGAATCTAGAGATCAACCCTATATGATTATATTTTGATTTATACCTGTGTCAGATCCTTGCGGTACTTGGTGCCCGTTAAGAGGTTCTTCAGCTTCTTCAGCGAACGGCGGGGACCAGACTTGAAGTTAACACGCACCGTATTTTTGGCGGGACGCTGGCCATATTTGCCCTTCTTCAAGACGGCAGTGAAGCCCTTCTTGTCGGCAGCGGGCACAACTCCAAGAGTTTTCTTGTGCACAATGCCGCTGTAGCGGAAAGAGCTGACATTGGCCAAGTTGCTGGGTTCCTTTTGGAGATAAGTTTAGATTATTAGTCAATCATGCTAATATATTGGAAAATGTAGTAAATATTTGCCAGTGTCGTCAGATTAATGTAACTATCATGTTGTATTCAAATATCATTGTGAAAGTTTATAAATTGGAAACATCATTGAACAGCAACCAACATTTTACTTAAACCAAATGTCAACACTTACCGTGCTGAAAGGTTTCTTCACATCACGCTTCTTCAACAAGAAGGCGTTGTTGTTGCGAATGATCAACCAATTGAGGTGCGAAGAGGTTGCCATCGTACGTCTGCAAAAATAAAATCCTGATTAGTATCAATTTGTAAAGGTCGCATAATTGTGTTTTGAATGCTACATATTCAGTCTTGGGTGATGAATATAGTCTTCAAGAACTCTTCTGCCAAATCATTCATCAGATTTTTCAATTTTTTTTCACTTAATCTCATACTTAACACGTGTGCTTACCTTTGGTTAGGAAATGGTGCAGGAAAGGTGAGTTCGTGTCATGAAATAGAAGAAAATATCAGGTTAGTTTTACATCAACTGCAGAATAAAGCTATTTATTTTATGAAGTCAGTCTTGGGTGATGAATATAGTCTTCAAGAACTCTTCCGTCAAATCGTTCATCACTTAAGAAACTGTAACCAGTGTTGCCCATAGCTGCTTTAAAAAACTAAATGCAATGTTGCCGATTGACTTCTAAAACAAGTCAAATTTTGCATAAAACAGCTGCATTGCAACACTGGCTATACTGCACATGTGCTTACCTTTATCGCCACAATGCAGCAAGACACACAGGCAAGGCAGGGCAGCAACATTGGAGCGCACATGAAATGAAAAAATGGTATAAATATAGTTACGTGGTTCCACAATAATCCAAAAGCAAGCCTCTCAACAGTTTCTTCAGTCTTGGGTGATGAATATAGTCTTCAAGAGCTCTTCTGCCAAAATCGTTCATCATACAAGGGGCCCCTAGGAGCCGCCATACACGTGTGAGGTTTAACGCAAAATTTTACCTCCAATTTAACTTGTATTGGCGGCCACTGTTGTGCTTAACAAGGTGCAACTGATTCAGTTTGCATAATTGCCATCTTTTTGTGTTGTTCACTACGCTATGTAAGCTATAACTTAACCAAATCAAGACACAATGCAAAATGCCTACCTTTTCTCGTTGAAAGACAAGCAGGAAAGAAATATGGCAGACACAGTGCATGGTGAACTTGGCTGCGATTAAGCGCACAGGCTTGCTAAACAGCATATATCGATATACCGCAATGACCATCGCCTTATGCGTGGTGTATCGATACCTGAAGCCATCTCTACTTGTCAGACACATTTCCGAAGCTCTATTCGCAAAAAAAGTTAAATTACAGTTAAATTCAAGTAAAGAATTGTATTAAAACGTTTCAGACAGTTTTTGTTTTAGGCTGTGGTTTCTTTTTATTGTCGTATGTCCATCCAGAATTTAAACACTCGTGGTAAGGACAGCGCACGTTTTCATTTCTACCCAATACACTTGCAGCTCGTAATTTACACATGTATGTATGTATGTACTATGTACACATAAAATGGCTGCTGACACGGACTAGACTAGTCATCAAAGTGAACTTACAAACATACGTACATACATACATATTTATGTAAATGGGATGTAGACATGCAGCACGGGTGTGATTACAGATTTTTCATGCATATATATGTTTGTTTATATTTCAGACCCCTTTGCTGATGCAATCAAGGGCAATGATGATGATATTCAAGACGGACTCGTGCACATAAGAATCCAACAGAGGAACGGTCGCAAGACATTGACCACTGTTCAGGGCTTATCCGCAGAATATGACTTGAAGAAAATAGTCCGCTCCTGTAAAAAGGTTTGTGCATGGCCAGCCAAATGCTCAGATATTGATTTTAAATTCAATTACAAGTGAATATTTGATAAACGATTTTGTTGTTTAGGAATTTGCTTGCAATGGGACTGTGATTGAACATCCAGAGTATGGTGAAGTTCTGCAACTGCAGGGCGATCAACGTGAAAACATCTGCCAATGGTTGACCAAGGTGGGACTAGCGAAGCCTGATCAACTGAAAGTTCACGGCTTCTAAACTAATGCCAAGGGAGAAACAAAAGTGTGGATATCCATACAAGTCTTACACTGCATACATAACTACACACTCATACACATATTAATATAAATATATATATATATATATATTATATGTATACCAAACTTGCTAAAGTTCTTTGTTCCGATCAACTAAAACTCTTGATAAAAACATTTATATAAAGACAAAAGCAATAGACCATTAACTGCGAACAATGTTAATATTACAAGTTAAATAAAATTAAATGTTCATTTTAAATAAGTAACCGAGTGTATTCATATATATGTATTTATGGGTTTTTCAATTTGTAACCAATCCTTCTATTGAAATTAAATAGTTGCACGGCCTGGCCAGTAACTATTAACAGTTCCAAGGTTGTATCGGCGTCAGTCTTACAGCCGCCATGTTGATGACGTATTTCGAAAAGTATCGAAAGGTATTCTGCGACTTAAATTTTATATAAGCAACTGTAATAACACAGTGTTCATATATAATTCATATTCTACTAACGAAACATTTTCAACGAATTATTTAACTATCTAAGAAATATTATAATTAAATAGCCATATTATTGGATGTCAGATATATCGATATCACGTAACAATGGTTACACTCCCATTCAAATTCAAATATTAACTGCCCAAAACTTACAGTAGGTCATTAAATTTAGATGACATACAACGCACATTTAAATGACAAACCCGTTTACACATTTATAGACTATAAAAATCATACAACAGTCATGTGTAGTCTTTGTGCAATCCCAGGTTTTATACTAGGTTCTCATTATCGAAAATATAAGAAATCGATTTTTTACTTATCGAACTTCTATCAGTGTTTCCGAAAACTATCAGTGCCTATCGCCAACCACCACAATCACACATTGTAGTTTTGACGGCAGCAGTAAAATTGTAATTCATAAATCACAATTTAATTTACATTAATTCATGCACAAATTGTGTATATTGTTAAAGTTTTTTTTTTTCAAAAAATAAACAAAAGTCTTTAAATACGAGTACGCGCACCACGCGGAACGTGTGGTGTTTCGCTTAGCAATCGCAATCGCTGCGAGTGCTCTAGCCAGAGAACACACATAACAAGTGGTTTTCAATTCAATTCGATGGTCTATCAAAAGAGCTGCAACCAAAAATAATTGCTGACGGGTCCATTGGCAAACGAAATATTACGCTACGTGGTGAGTACAGTTCATTTTATATGTTATTGTGTTTTGTGACACTCATTCGTGGTGACATTTGAAGGCCCAAGCGTATGCATTTTGTTTAATTAGCAAAATATATTCTAAGGTTCTCAAAATTCGTTCCCAGCGTTCCAGCACAACCCCGCTAAATTACGTGTGCTTAACAATTTGTTTTAGAACCAGAAAACAGTCGAAATAGTTATTTCTAAATAAGACTAGTGACCAGTGTCATTCAATATTCAAAAAGCGTGCGCGTATTGCAGTTTTTTTTGGCTTCGCTTTCTAGTTGTCAGTTGATTTTTGTGTGGTTTTCGCCGCATGCAACCATGCAAACGTTGGTGTATCGAAACGATTGACAAAAGGAACGGGCGAAAGTTTTTCTATAACGATGAGACGTCAAATTTTTGGCTTTATAAAAAAATTTTCGCGTGACGAGTTCGTTGTCGAAAACAACCAATAACTATTATTTAAAACATTTGCAACAATCAAGTATTTTGTTTTAACGATTTTTGCTGGTACGGTGGTGCAACTTAGACGTGAGAAAACAACAAAAAAAAATCAATTGTTGGTTCGGTTCTCGGGCCAATTTCAATTTTTATTCTGCGTATATTTGAGTGCGAAAAAAAGCAAGGGAAGGAGGCAAAGAAGAAAAGCGAAAATAGCCACGGAAAAGAAAACTAAATGAGAACAAAAATTAAGTCATTGAAGCCAGATACACGGAAAACTAGACGACAACGGTCGAAGTTGGAAGAAAATGAGGCACGAGTTGAGATGAGAATATGAGAGGAGACAGTGATAGCGACTAGTTCAAACAGCAATTGCAGCAGTATAAATAAATAAATATTAACTGCGAAGGAAGGAATCACTGCTGATTTGTGTGTAATTCGCATCATACTCAAGTCTAATGAAATCCGAATATATAGTGAAAATCGAAATTTCCAACTAAAAAAGTCTCAGCTGGGTGGCAGCAGCAGCAGCAGCAGCCGCAACAAGGCAGCGCGCGTGTGTTGTGTGTGCGTGTGTGTGTGTGTGTGTGTGAGTGTGTGTGTGTGAGTGCGTGAGTGTGAGCGAGTGCAAGTCTGAGTGCGTGTGTGAGTGAGTCGTATGTGCAAGTTTTTGGGGCTGTCGGGTGTTCGTTTTTGAAAGAGGAGTAGAAAAAAGAAGAAGCGAGTTGTGTCTTTAAGTGTGTGCTTGTGTGTGTGGAATTCTTGACAATTCCCCAACATACGTTACCATGGAATATTACCTAGGTTAGTAGAAATTTCAATTCTCAATTTGTAAATTAAAAAAATATGCGGGGCACATACACATTCATATATATACATATATATAAATATATATATATATATATAAATGCATAAATGACCATTTACAAATACAGTGGCAAAACAATGCCCCCGCACTTACACATGCGTATGCACATAGATGCTTTCGCATATAGGCGAGTACATAGGAACGCATATACATATATACAAATACATACATTGCGTATGCTGCATTACTTTAAGGTGAGGCCAAAACGCAAAGTTTTTGCAGTAGCAGCCGCAGCTGCCCTTACCTCCAAGCCACCCCATCCCCCCAGCGTTTGTGGTTATGTTTAGGATCAAATTAGCTGGCGGCGACTGTGCATTTGTTTGTTTGTGCAATTAAACCTATACATACATACGCATACAAATGAAATCCACAAGAAATGCGTCTAGCCAGCAATACAATTCCTATTGCATTTTCAGTGCCCGGTTGGAGCTTCTGCTTCCAATTACAGCGCCAGTGTTGCCAACTGCCGCTTCAAAAGAGTAGCTAAATCCTATGTTCAAATAGCTATAATTAGCTAACTGGAAACAAACAGGGTCGCTGGACATAGAAAAACTAGCTTAATCCAGCTAAATTAATTTATGGTTTGACTGTTTCCAGCAGAAGACCTTTGCATATAGCTAAATTTAGCTTGCAAAGAGTTTCATGGGTAGCACTGTGCGTCGTGTTTACCTTTTATAATTGGCTAAGAAGGGTATTTGGAGCTGTGTCAATTTCTTAGAACGTAGTAGAGGGCTGTTGTGTTGTTTATCAGTGTAATTGCGTCTTGATTGAGTTTTTTTTTTCTTTGCAGGAGGTTACGTCTATATGAATGGAGATGCTGTCAAGATTCAGCCGCCTGTTTACACCAATGTTCCTGTTGAAACGGCAATGTTAGCTACCAACCTGTTCGGCACCCCGACACAGATCGCAGCACCGACAGCAGCTCATATACCCATAATCACGGCAGCAGCAGCTGCAGCAGGAGGCACACCAACAGGAACAGTAGCGCCCCAAACAGCACAGCCCGCACAGCATTCACAGCAGCAGCAGCAGCAGCAACAACAACAGCAGCAGCAGCAGCATCCACAGCCACAACAGCATCCACATCAGCAGCAACAGCAGCAGCTCATCTCTCATACGCACGCCCACGCTGTGGCCGTTGCCGCTGCAGCCGCCGCTCAGCAACAGCAGCAGCAACAACAACAACAACAACAACAATCAACGCAGACCATCCAAACGGTGCAGGCGGTAACGCCGGCCACGGCCCAGTTGCATCTGCAGGCGCATCCGCATCCGGCACAACAGCATTTGCAGTACGGTCACTCGGCTCAGCAGCCGCTGCCACCGCCGCTGCCGCTGCCGTCCACTGGCGAAAGCATTCAGGCAAACGCACTTGACAATACCGAATACGCCATCATGAATGGAGCCATCGCTCAGACTCAAGATGGCAACCTCGTCTGCTATACCACAGAGGCGCTCGTACCTGGCGTTAACAATACGAATTTAGTTGCCCTCGAGCAGCAGCAGCAGCCCGAGCTCATCGCACAGCAGCAGCAGCAGCAGCTAGCGGCCGATGAATGCGGCATGCCGCTGGACAAGCTCAAGCAGATGCTGGCCACGCAGCTGGACTATTACTTTTGCAGGTAACATGCACACACTCACGCGCACACTCGCACACCCAAACTAATTTGAAACTTCTTTTGCAGAGAGAATCTGGCAACGGATACTTATTTGGTGTCCCAAATGGACAGCGATCAATATGTGCTCATAAAGACAGTGGCCAACTTTAATCTTGTTAAGAAACTAACCAAGGACATCAATCTGATTACCGAGGTGCTGCGCGAATCGCCCAACGTACAGGTCGATGACGAGGGTCTGCGCGTGCGCCCCAACCACAAACGTTGCATCATCATATTGCGCGAAATATCCGACAACACGCCACTCGATGACGTCAAGGTAAAACGCGATGGCGATGACAACGGCGGCTCACCCAGCAACCGAAACCAAATTCAATTAGAGACGAGCGCGCCCATCTAAATTCTCAAAATCACGATCGAGCCTCGGTCGTCGACTCTTGCTTAACTGAGCGATTACTTTTCGATTATGTTCATAATATATGTTCGAACTGACTGACTAAGATTAAGACTGAAAGATCAAAGCAGAGCAACGTCTGCGGGCTAGAAAGGTAGAGTTTCACTGTAGTTAGCATAAGTTGAGAACTTCAAACTTGGCAAGAAATATAACTTGATAAGTGCAGCTCAAGTTAATATGTATAGATATATATATAGTATGTATAGTATAGAATAAAATTTCATACGGGCGAAAAAGGGTTTAAAAATTGACTGAAATGTGAACAAAAAGAATTGGACGGAACAGGGTTCGAAAATAGCAACTGTAGCTATTGACATATCTTCTCATAGGCCCGCCCTTTTGTCTGCAGGCAATTAAGGCTTACCCTTAACTTAATCAAAATATATATGAAGCTGCCATCTAAACTCATGTCTCCTTCTTTTTTCGCACAGGCGCTGTTCAGCAGCGACAACTGCCCTCGCCCGATTGCCTGCGAGTTTGCGGCCAACAATTCGTGGTACATCACATTCGAGTCGGACGAGGATGCGCAGAAGGCCTTCAAGTATTTGCGCGAGGAGGTCAAAGAGTTTCAGGGCAAGCCCATAATGGCGCGCATCAAGCCCAAGTCATTTATTAATAGAATACCTGCAGTACCAAATATCAAGAACGGCTATCGTCTCAACTCACCGCCAACTGCCACAGTCTATGATCCAGCCGCTGCCGCTGGCGCCGCTGCAGCTGCTGCCGCCGTCAGCTACAATGCGGCTCCACAACGTTTCGTCTATGCCGGGAATGGCGCCCTTACTCCAGCGACGGTGCCCTACGGTGGCCAGGTTCTGATTGTGAGTATTAAAAGGAATATTTGCTAATAGAGTCCAGCATTGAATCGAGTTGCGGACAAGCTCAAACTTAGTTAGTTCGCTTTCTTATTCCTTATTTTGTGCTGGTCTTTCTGAGTCGAGGAGGCGGCCACTCTTTTGTATGAATATCCTCGGCTCAATAATGAGAGCTCCAGTATCCGAATTAAACCCAGGCCAGGCTCTATTTATTTATTTGTCTAACGTCTCGCATTTTTGTAGCCCTTTCAGCAGCAACCGTTCTACACAGGCCTAATGCCGTGGCAACCGACCACTGTGGCCGCGGCGACGGCAGCGCATGGCCAGAACTTTTATGAGATTGGCGGCAATTTATATGCAGCAAATGGTCTGGCACCGCAGGCTGTGGCTGCCAATTTCACAACTGCACCGCCGCCCGCCACACAAATCGTGACGAATAAGCCGCAGAGCGGCGGTGGTGGTGGCGGTCGCTACAATAGCAATCATCGCGGCAATCCGAATAGCCTGACCGGCACAGGACCACGCGGCGAGCTGCGCAGCAAGCCGCCGCGCAATGCACAGCAACAACAACAACAACAGACGTCTTCGCATATCCAGAGCGGCAACATTATCATGCCCACGACGCTGCGTGGCATCAGCGTGGTGCCGGCTGCCATTGTGGATCCAATACAGCAGGTGCCGCTGCAGCAGCAACAGCAGCAGCAGGTGCAACAACAACAGCAACAGCAGGTGCAACAGCATCAGCAGCTGCAGCAGCAGCAGCAGCCGGCGAGCTCCAGCCAGCAGCAGCAGGTGCAACAGCAGCAAATCGTCAGCGGAAACTCGGCTGGGTCCACGCGATATGCGCTCAAGAGCAACTGGAAGGGTGGCATGCAAAAGAATCTGGACAAGAGCTATGGCAGCCACCATCACTACAGCACCCAGGTGCAAACGCTGCCCACCAGCAGCCATGCTCACCATCAGCCACAGCAGCAGCCGCAGCAGCAGCAGCAGCAGCAAACGCACTATCAATTGCCTTCCTCGAGCGCCGCCAGCTCAACGCACTCAACATATGCCAACTCGCACGCTGCAACGTTGACTCTGGCACCGCAACCTAACCAGCAGCAACAGGCGCATCATCACCTGGTGGTACATGCTGCACAGCCTGTGGAGCTGCAGGAAGCTAGCGGCGGCGATAATGTTGTTGTCGAGCACGGCGGCAGCTCGCATGGCATGCAACCGAGTCGCAGCAACATGTCAGCCAGCTCCTCATCGTCGCTGGCCACTTCCATTGGCGGCGGCAAGGAACCACAGCAGCTGCACTGGCAGACACGTCCACGCCGTCGCCGGCGCGACGAAGACGGCATCAATTACTCGCCAGGCGGTCGAGTTAATGTAAGTGTCAAACTAGGGTTCTATTCCTTACGCCTGATCGATTTACTTATCTCTTGTTTATTTCAGATCTATGGCGGATCGCCGCAGCAGCTGCTCTCCTCGTCGTCCGCCTCATCCACGAATAACGTGCAGTCGTCGCATCGCGAGAGTCATTATGGCAGTCATGAGGCGCAGCCGGCGCCGCCGCAGCATCGCGGCAATTACAAGGGCAACAATTATAATCCCAACTATCATGCTCAGCAGCATGCGTCCATGTCGCATCATCATCATCATAATCACAGCCATAGCGCGCTGCCCGCCCATCAGCAGCAACAGCAGCAACAACAACAGCAGCAGCAGCAGCATCATGTGCCGGCTACACAGCAAAGCTTGGGCCATAATTATCATCATCATCATCATCACAACTCCATTGGCAGCAATGTGGGCAACAGCGGCGGGCTCGGTGTCAGCAGCAGCAACAACAATAACAACAGCAACATGTCCAACAACATTGGCGCCAGCAGCAGCGTAGGAGGAGCAGGAGGCGGCGGCGGAGGAGGAGGAGGCGGCGGCGGCGGTAGCAGTAATGAGCGCGGCCTGCACCATGGCATTAGCATGGGATATCAGGGCCATAATGCACATCAGCAACAGTTGCAGCAGCAGCAGCAGCAACAACAGCAGCAGCAGCCGGCGGCTCCGGCACAGCCGCCGCAATTCGATTTGGAGGCGTCCGCCTTTCCACCGCTGCCGGCTACCTCGGCGCCGGCACATGGTGCACATCATCATCATCAGCATCAGCATCACAGCAACGCTTCCATGCATAACTCTAGCAGCAACTCATCCTCATCGGCGAGCGGGCCAAGTCACAGTAAGCAGCAGACGGCCAATCAGAGTCAGGCCCATCATCAGCCGGGACACGGCGCCGCCGTTGTCGCGGCGTCGTCGTCGTCGGCGGCCGAATGCAGCGGCGAGGAGCCGCGTTCAAGCAATCATCAGCATGCCGACAGCAATGCGCATAGTTCCTCGAGCAACTCCTCAACGGCGGCTCCGGCAGCTGGCTGGGCTGAGAATCGACTCGCGGATGTGGTACGCACGGGCAAAGGCAAGGCGCGCAAGGATGCCGCCGCCGTCGCCGCACAGAACCGACATCAACAGCAGCCTGGCCAGCAACAACAGCAGCATTTGCCACAGCAGCAACAATATCAGCAGCAGCAGCAGCAGCGCAATCTGGCAATTAGTCCCACGCCCGCGATGGTAGTCGTAGCTTCAGCTCCAGCTGACAATACTAAAAACTTTACTAAGCAGAGCTCTAGTAATAACCCGATCAATGTGATAAAGTGTATAACACCAAATATCAATGCCAGCAACAAGTTGAGCAACAACAATAACAATGCGAACACGACGACGACAGCAACAGCAACAGTTGCTATTGAAGAGGCAGCTGCTGCTGCTCAGCAGCTGGATAAATCAAACAAGACTGAGGATGAACTGCATCCAATACAAGGCGGCAAGCAGCAGCGCCTAGCCGAGGGCTATGGCCAACAGCAACAGCAGCAGCCGCAACCGTCGCAGCAGCAGATGACAAATGACTATGTGCGCGGCATGGCCGCGCCTGGTGCACTGCCCGTGGCCGGGCATATGCCGACGAACTCGGGCGCTGGCGCCTGTAGCGGCACGCTGGCCATCGGCTTAAACGAGCTGAGTTTGGGCCAGCACAGGAAGCCGGCTACGACTAGCACGCAACACACCAAAAAGGAGCTCAACCCTGGCGCTGGCAAAGATGCCAACAGCAACAAACACAAAAGTGTTGCCAACTCCACATCCCCCGCCAATTCAGTGTCAACGGAGAATATTGCGGCCGCGACAACCGCCAGCAAACTAAGCTATGCGCAGGTGGCGCAGCACCATAAGACCGCCGCCGAGGCCATCAAGGACGGCGCTGTCTCCCCCACGGCCAGCCACAAGCTGGAACTAGTCTTTAGCGACACCGCCGCCACGCCCACAGCCGACAAAGTTGCAGCGACTGTCTCGACTGAGAAGCGTCTGGCCGTAACCTCTTCAGCTGTTCCAGCAGTGCAGCCGGGCAAAGCTACTGGCGGCACGCAGACTCAACCTGGCGGAGCTGTTGCCAAGGAGAAGGGTAAGTATAATCGTGAGCTAATTCAAGCTACCAATAGTAACTAATCTATATTAACTTTATAACAGATGCTGCTCAGCGAGAGTCGCGTCCGAATGCGGCGCAGATTGCTGGCAGCTCGCGCCAGCAGAGCAAGGAGAAACCACCGCAACATTATGGATCATCCTCTGATCACAATACGAATGCCAATCAGGGCGGTCGCAAATCGAGATCGAATAACTCTTAAAAACAAAGCAGGTCGCCGAATTTGCGACAAATGTGAAAAACATGAATACTTTGCTAGGTGACGCCGCCGCCGCTTCAGGTGCATCACCCCCATCAACCCCCCTCCCCCCCTTTCTGTACATAAATTCCAATGTGTAAATACAAACAAAAGCCGTTTTTTGTTATATCTATAAGCGCTATAGATATATACGAGCTAACCAAGGAGGCATAAATAAGGTAATATCTGTTCGATATTTTGTATTTAATATATTTTATTTAATATATTCTCCTTTGCAGTTGGCGTCGCAACGAGGAGAGATTAGAGGGCGACCGGCTTGGACCAGTTATCATATAATATAATAAAAGCATAGGCAAAGGAATAATGGTGCATAACATTAATGAAAACACACAAACACACACAGAGACTCACACATCTAAATACATATATATATATGTATAATCAGTTAAAGTTAATTTATCTTAGCCTAAACTTAACATACACACAAAACACATGTAGATTAGTGCAACGATGATGAATTGGTAGATATATATATAAAAAAATATATATGTATATATATATGGCTTGTATATATATATAGCGTATATATATGTATATATAAGAGAGAGAGAGAGAGAGGGGGAAGAAGTGTATAAGCCCAAGTTAAGTTTACGATAACGATTAATGTAAATTGTTTGATTGTAGTCAGCCAAGTTGCATCCGTTCGAGATGTTAGCTAAATAACGACAACAACAACAACAAAAAGAATGTAGCATTAATCATTATTAATAATCCATTACTCATTGCCTGGTGAATCATGTTCATCATCATCATCATCGTGTGTTGATTGTCAACGTTAATTATCATTTGCTTATATGCTAAAACTTGAATAGATTATAACCAAAAACAAATACGAGAGTTCTACCCCTACAGATTGGGCTATATACGTTAGTCCCAGACATCTTTTTCTTTTCATTTTTTAATATTCTTATTATAACCTTTATCTGATAGTAGCGACCATTGAAGTCTTTTGTTCTATTTCGAGCCTTTGGCCATTTTTTTTTTGTACTTATTTCTTGTCCTAAAGGAACCTGTTAACACGGACACAGACTGGCACACACACACAAACACACACACACTCGCACACACACACACTCTCTATGTTTATACTTATATGTCTATGGAAATAATTGCAAACTATTTGAAATTGCATTTCTTCCACACATATGAGGCAATTTTCTCAGTTCAATGGTTTCACACACATTTCTCGAGAAAAAAAAACTAAAACCAAAAACAAATTAATGCAAATTTTATACAAGCCGAACAAAATAACTAATAATAAAACAATTAGTGTTACTCTCAACACACACATAAAAAATGTACAAAAATTATTTTTGTATAAACAACTAAAAAACTAAACAAAAAGATAGCAAAAGGTGCCATAAAGAAACACACACAGACTCGCCCACACACATACACACACACACACACACACACATGCAGTGAAATTTCTATGCGGTTTAGGACAACACAAATAGGCATTTAAAATTATATACTTATATACATATACATAATTGTATATATACCTATGTACAATTAATTCTTACATTTTACTTCTTTTTTCTTTTGCTTTGGTTGACCCACACAAAAAAACGAAAAAAATTTACAAAAATGTTGAAAAAAATAATATTGTATTTAATACTAATGCTCATTATGCTTTTCGGTTGGATTTCCTTTGTTTGTAAACTTTGATCCGTATTAATTTCACTTATGATTTTGTACGCACAAAACAACGGCAACGGAATATAAAGCTATGAAAACCTTTTCAATTTGATTTTGAAGTTTAAGTGTATAAGCAAGTAAATTAATCTTAAGGCATAAACAATTGACAGAAGTTAATCTATGTAGGCACTAAGCGCATACGATACATGATACATATATATGTGTATATATATATATATATGTATATATAAATATAGATATGTATATAAGCTAATGCTAGCGTTAAGTGATATGCTAAGATATCCCATATTCTTAAGGGTAGGCAAAATATATTCGATTCGACAATCGGATTGCTTGCGGCGATGTTACGTCCTCCGCCCCCCATTTCACTATCAAAAACACACAACAAAACAAACAAAAGAAAGCGTTTTCCTTTCCACTTTCTTCGATTCGAGTGAGAGTTCTCTCAAAGTAGATAACTGCTAAATATAATAGAATACCAAAATGAAGTGTTTCCCAGCCTCTCCCACAAGCCAGTGTCCCAGTATGCAAGACTTTTAACACATGCTACATTTTATACAATATACATTATATATATATATATGCCCCTATATACATATATATGTGTGTATATATATTAACTTAAAGTAAACATATATTTTGATTCTATAAAAACAATCGAATATGCTAAGTGCCTATACTAAAAACATTTATATCTGTATATATATATATATCCGTTACATATATATATGTACATATATATATATATGTATACCCGCTCCACTGAGTAGACCCTACTATAATTAAACTTTTATTATTTGTTAAACACTATTGTTGCCGCTAGTCCAAGTCCAGACGCTCGTCCCAGCTGCTCCGAGATGAGCATCTGGGACTGTCGCATCTGGCCTGACGACTGACCCCCGCCCTTTTGCTCAGTGGTGTGCTTGTATACATACACATACACATACACACACACGCACACACATACACATAAGCAAACACACACACACACACACATGCAACACATAAAATAATAGTTGGTATACCTCCCTCCTCCTCCCAACCATCCCAATCACGGCCTTCTGCCAACCACACACACACACATTGTTTAATTGGTTCTCCACCGTCTCACTGTACAGTGAAACTACGTTAGCGCCGACGACGAACGACGGGCATAGAGTAACAAATGGGACTAGAGAGCCGGCATACCCAGTCGTCTGGATGCACTTAGGGTGTAGCTGGCATTCAATATGTGCAACAAACGCCACGTGTGCTGTGTGATATTATGCAACTTGCAGAGTGAAGAACTCTTCAATTGCATGTAAAAAAAAATTAAAAATAAAATAAATAAAAAGGTTGGAATATGGATTGCCAGATTGATTGCCAAATACCCTACACCCTATACTAGGCCCGGCTGCTTGGGCTGCCAGTTCTCGATGTATTTTTTGGTGTTGTCTCGGAGAGAGGAGTTTATATAGAGAAAAGAGGTCTAGAGTTAGCGGAAAGAAACGTAACGAAACGAAACGATATGATAAGATATGATAAAGATAAATAAAGAAGGCGAAGATGCAGATGAAGTTGAAAAAGAAACATTGTTGATGTTGAATAATTTTAAGGCAACAAATAAATTAATTAAATTGTTATTGTAAAGCCTCAGTTCTTAAGTTATTTATTTTGTATATTTAAGCAGCGCATATGACACTGACAATGACACATGACACCTTGTTAAACTATACAAACTACTGATAAAAAAAAAAAAAAACAAAAACAAAAATAACTGTAATATGTAATAATACACGCTCTATACACTATACATGCATGTAACTATCCCAACACACAAAAATCCATACACAATCCAGCCAGAACTAAGCAAATAACCCTTTGTTCTTATCCAATTGTCGTGCAGAGTCATTTCAAATAGCTTTCAAGACATTATTATTATTATTATCATCATTATTATGTATACCATATTATTTATTATTGAAAGAGTATATGCCTTTCACAAGGGCGGCAGGGTATAATGGCCCATTTATTATTTTGTTTGGCACTGCCGCAATATTATATATATATATACACATATATATATATATGTATGAATCTATATATTGTATAATAACTAGACGAGTTTTAAAGGTATTCCCAGCCAGCTGCTTGGTACTATAAATCCTCGTAGAATTGTTTAAGTTTTTTTATCAGAAAAAAATGTATAACACGAAAGCTTGATATTGATAGGAAGACATTTACTTACCACTTGACGTCCAGCACTCGTTCGGGAATACCCTATAATCTATACTTACATATAATAATACGCCTGCTCTGCTTTATCTCTCTCATTCTTTTGGCACTGCCATCAAAATATTTCATATATAGTTTTAGTTTTAAAAGCCTTTCCATATTCGCACACTTTTATCGATGGATATTGTTTTTTTGCGCCCCTTGTGAAGGGTTTAATTTACTTGTTTTTCATTTTATAATTTCATTTTTGTTTTTCAATGATAAACGTTGTTTTTCATTTTTTTTTTTTGTCTGTTCAAAATACTTGCATAGAAATGCTTACGCACATTGTTATCACTAAAAATAAAAAAGAAAATCCATTAAAAAAAAAAAAACAAAAGAATGTCTGTTAAAAAAATTGATATATAGAACACATGTAATAAAATCGAAGAGTATATAATTAATATTATTAATTGTACCAAAATTGATAAATGTAAAGTAACAAGAACAACAAAACAAAAAAGGTTTATAAAATTGCATATATGATTAAACTATAAACTAAAACGTAACTATAACTCAACAATATCCCTATGCAAAAGTATACACATAAATTATATTAAACATAACCAGAGAAACAACAACAACAACCAACAAGAACAAGAAAAACAACATCCACTCTTTTTCCGTATACTAGGGAGTGAAAATTGTGCTCGCTTTATATTGTATACGAGCTCTTATAACTAAAACTGAAACAAAAATCATCTAAAGCTATAGGAAAGATAAATGAGAACCATCTAAGACCGAAACACATACAAACAAACAAACAAAAAAAAAAAAAAAACAAATCATAAATGCATATTTTATTTTATTGTATGTATCATAAACGAGAATCAAATAAAAAGAAAAACCAGAAAACAAAAAGCGCATACGTAGATTAAATGTAGTTAGCCGAAGAAATGGTAAATGTGGAAAATGCAAATCGAAACGATTATTGAAAACATGTCAACCAATAAAACAGAAACAATAAACAGACGGTTTAAATAAACATCTTGATCTAGGGGGATAACTCGTGGCCTGTTCCATATAAATCTAGCAGAAACAACCTCTCTCGTATCTACCCCAAACGGCTCGAATAAGACGGGTCAAAAAGTCCGGTTTTGGTTTTTTTCTAATTTGTTTATTCTCAATTCTCGTATCATTATTATTGCGATGTAAAAAGGCCTCTAGCATGACTATGTTGGATCGATCCCAAGTTAAATCGTTTACCCAATGGAATTTACAACGATTTTTCGACACTACAAAAAATGTTCCTTTATACAAATACATAATTACTTATCTATGCTATATTTATATATATATATTATCCAAGTTAAGTGTTTAGAAAACTTTTTATATTTTTGGAATATCTCGGATAGATGTAGTCTGATTTTCGAATGATATAGCTTTTTGATCTCAGACCTCCGATTGGCATTCGCAAATGGGTTCGGTTCGGTTCTCAAAATCAAACATTTTAGCTGCCAATCAGTTGTAGAATGTTTCTTGAGTACAAAACGACAAATCTTTCCGAAATCGGACTAAAATTAACCAAGTTATGTACATTAAAAGTTTTTCAAATATGTTAAAATGGGAATTTTTCGGGTATTTGAATTCCGTATTTCGGATAATTCAACAAATCCAATTCTAAAATTAGACAAGGAGTACAAGTTTAGATATTAAAATCAAAGTTGTTCGCTTCCAATCTATTTTATAGAGTATCACGAATCCTTGCGGACTTCGATTGGCCGAGTTAGTTATATAAACAGCTTTAATGGTGTTGCACGATCTAAAGGTACGAAAAATACTAGATGGATAATACATTCATTATCTTGCATTAGGGAGGGGGATTACAAACAACGTAAGAGCAGTCACTAGCATTGTTGAACTTTTCGCTTTGGTTTAGACATATTTATTGCGCGGGGGACGACAAAACAGGTGTTTCCGTTGCTGTCGGCGCCGGTGGCGACGTTTCCGTGTTCACATCTGACGGCCCGGTGGATGATCTACAACGTGCAACCAGGTCGCTGTAGGGCTTGTCGTGCAGCAGGCAGACGAGGACAACGGTCATATTATCGCCGCCCAGTCCACCCATTTGGCAGTCCGGCGCAAGGCAATGGTTCATCAGCTCCTCGCAGATCTCCTCCGGCTGTTTGTCCATGGCGATGCGCGACCGACAGAACTCGAGCACTTCCTCGTTGCTCATCACATCCCAAATGCCATCACATGCCAGCACAATAAATTCCCAGTCCGGCATTATTTGGCGCGTCTCTACGTCCGGGTAGGCTAGGCAACAACAACAAGGTGTTAACAATGGATGAATGCCGTTGTCTTCCGTATATATTCACCTGTGACTATTTGCTCTTCCGGCTTTTTGTTCGCCCGCTTGAACACAAAGTCGCCCAGCGCACGGGAGAGTGCAAGATTGCCATTGACACGATTGAATTCCACCCAGCCGCCGCCCTCGATGATGCGCTTCGATTCCGCCTCATTGTTCGGCTTGTGGTCCACGGATAGCGTCTCCACCTGCCCGTTCACACTGGCAATGGCCCGCGAGTCGCCGGCATTGGCGCAATACAGAATATTATCCTTGACCAGCACAACGACGGCCGTAGACCCGGCCATCTGATCGCCCCACGACTCATTGTGCAGCATCTCATAGTCTATGTCCAGAAAACCCTACAAGTTCCAGAGATACATGATGATTGAATGATGTCGACCAAGTCGATCAACGGGCTCTTGTTAAAAGTGACGCAGGACATTCCAGCCAGAATAGTTGCCGAAGAACAGCTGAGCAGGGTCCAGAATGATGACGATGATGCGAAACAGAGCACTTTTGAAGCACAAATAACATGGAACCCAAACAATTGGATTAATCTACCCAAATATGAAAACCTTAGCCTGGGTTTATTGATGTGGATAGCACGAAGAAAACCACAAGGCGGTGCGCCGGTTCAAATTTGTTTGTTTTGAGCACAAATAAAGTGAACCCCCAATCTTTGTGCAACAAGACCAGGGTTTATGGAGTTGTGCGAAGAAAACCAGAAGGCAAAGCTTGCAGTTTTGAACACAAAATGGATTAATCCAACCAATTGAAAAATTCCAGGCTTAATCAAAGCCTGGGTTATGCATGGGCAACAAGGCAGGTCGGCGGTTCGAATTTTGCTTTGAAGCTTTGAGCACAAATAAATTCAAGCCCAACCATTGACTTAATCCAACCAAATGGAACAAATTAAAGATTCCATCAAAGCCTGGACTTGTGTATGTGCCACAAGGCAGGTCGCCGGTTCGAATTGGGCTTTGCAGCTTTGAGCACAAATATATGTTACTCCAACTATTATATTTATTCAATCATATTTGAAAAATTCGAGGTTCTATCAAAAGCTGGGCTTATGGATCTGAAATGCAAGTCGCCGGTTCGAATGATGCACTTTTTGCGCTTGTAATTTGTGCTCCCCAACCAAGGAACCAATCCAAGCTTATATGAAACATGAAATATTTGATTAAAATTTAGGCTTATGGATGCGTAAGGCAGGTCGACGGTTCGAACTGTTAACTGTAATAATGCTATCTTTGGCCTTTAATGCCCTGGTAGTAGGTAGTAGCACCTCTTACCTGTTTCAGGGCCTTTTCGATATCGTTCTCATTGTATTCGGGCCGCTTGAGCACGAATTTGTGTAAATGCTTGCCCGCATATTGGGCGACAGTCGCGCCGCCATGCCCATCGTAGACGGCAAAGAAGGCCGCCTTTGGGTCATCCGGCAGGGCAAGTATGTGTGTGTGCGAATCCTCCATGTTGATGCGCCATCCCTGCATGCAGCTGCTGCCCACGCGATACTGTTGATTCTGGCAATACGATGACTCCTTCGCGGTCACCGGCTCGGATAGTGTCTGGCCCATCTCTCGCTTATCAGTTGGCGCTGATTATCTGCCAAGAGATAAAGGAATAAATTAACCGTGAGCTTGGCATATCTAAAATAGACTAATAGATATTGACCGGCTTTGCCCGGCCCACAACTGACTGGGAGACGAATCCATTTGCAAAGCATTAACGCAACAAAAGAAACACTTGAGCAACCTTTGATTCTTCATTTTGCTGTCTTTTTAAATTTATTGTTGTTTCTTTTTTTGTTTGTTTGTTTTTGCTGCCGTCCGACTGCGCAGCAGGGCAGAGGGCAAACGCAGTTAAACCAGATAAAACGTTGATAACATATCTGGCTCTTTCTCTTAGTCATGTGACGGGACGTAAACAAATGTGTTTTAAGTGCGACTGACAAACTGGTCAAAAATGTAAATTTAGACGAGTCTAGAACAATGGCTCCCGCAGGTAATAAAGTTGTGTGCGGAGCAGAGGCTTACCTGGCACGGGCGCTGCTCCCAATACATTTACAACTTTAGCTGGCTAATTTGGGTATTGCGACTACATTTATTTGTAAACGTTTATCGCTTGAACGCCGGAATTTCGCTTGGGCTTTGCGCGAATAATAAATGCAGCGACGCGTTTTTTTTTTTGTAGCGGGCGTCGCAGTTGCAGTTTTGCTTAAATGAATTTAACCAAGTCTACTTTGCTTTACTTTACTTTATCGGCAGCGATAAATATTGAAATGCAACCAAGCGAAATATCGTCGATAGTATCGATAATATTTGCAAGCGATAGTATTTTTCGGCGAAATTGGTGCTATTTTTATTCTTTATATTGGCTTTAGTGCTGAGCTGATCTGATGGAAATACTTAATTGAAAAGGTTAATTTTTTTAAAATTTTAAATGATTTCGAATCGTCACAGTTATATACAATATTTAACATTTTAAACCTTTACTTGGCTTGCGTGCGTCTCATAGCAACGAGCTTCAAGTTATCATCATTCTTTGACATCGTTGAGAAACTGACAGCTATAACTATCGTGAATTTAATTAAAAAACACGTTGTAAAAAGAAGTAATGTGTTGTTTTCATAAAAAAAAACGTAATCAGACTGATTAGTGTCATATGACCAACGTTTTGCCTACTAATCTGCAGTTAATGAGACAATATGTGTACAGACCTCACAGATTCTGTTTCAGCTATGCTCTTTCGCTTTCACTCTCTGCGCTCTCTTGCGCCATCATGTTGTCTGGTGTTGTTGGCGTTTCTCAACTTCGTTCTTTTCGGCTTTTGCCGCTGCTGATGCCAAGTGCATTGAATTTTGCAAATTCTGTTTTGCGGCAAATAAACGAATTCAAGGACAAATGACGTCAGCCAAACATTTTCGTGCTCGCTGCTGCCGCTGGTCAGTGCCGTACATGAGGGGGGCCTACAAGCGAGTCAGGGGTCTCCACTTAAATTAAATTGTTTTTTATTCAAAGCAACCCTGCATTGATGCTTATCAATATATCGCTTCGAGATTGCACCGACAATATTTTGAATCTATGTATGTTTAAAAAATGTACTTATAATCCTATCAGTTTATTATGATAAAAAAATATTAAATATGATATTTTGTGTTTCTTTCTTCTTTCAAATCATTCCGAATTATCGTATCTTAAACATCGGTAAATACGATAAATCGGTGTTCAGTGAATACCCCTAATTCAGATTGTTTTACCCGCCTCTGCCCATTAAAAAGTTTTTGTTTGTTTATTTTGTTTTTTGATTTCTTATTAAAAAGAAAACAAAGCAAAATCTATATTAAATATTTGCACAGCAGCAGAGATACCGAAAAGCAGCGAGTATTTCTGATAAAGAACTGTACCCTGCGCTCTCTCTCTACCACACTCTCTCGCTCTCTCTTTTGTTTTTTATCAAAGCCAGCGTTGAATGCGTTGCAAATGTCAATGAAATTTTTATTTATTTTTTTTGCTTTCTTGAGATGGGCGTGGTCGATACCGGCCTGCTTTAGCCAAGGGTTCTATTGCAATGACCATTCCCACAGTTAAGCCTGACCTTCTATACACTACCCCAGCCCACACACTCTTACTCACTGTCTCTCTCTCCCTCTTTCGCTGCGGTTCTTATCGCCTGCTCCTCGCATTTATTTGCCCCTGTTCTGCTTTTTGTTTTAGCTCATTGAAAGTGCAATTCAGTCGCAGCACGCATTTTATTATTTCCAAGCCTCTTGAAACGCACATTTATTATGCATTTAACGTTGTCGTCGGCTGAAACCCCTCCCCCTCCTCCCCCTCCACCCATCACTAAGGCAATGCACTCGCGCCATTAACCATTTGCCATTCGAATTTGTACGTCCTCACCCCACCCCTCCCCCCTCCCCGTGGGCTACTAAATAATTTCCATATTGTTTGTCAACGGTCACAGCGAAACGCATCCAGATCCCGATTCCGATTCCGATCCCTATTCCAAGCTCAACAACGGCGACATTATCGCTGGCCGCTTTCCAACCGATTCGTATGCAGTCTGCATGCAAATGTTGCATGAAGAGAGGGGTGCGAAAGGGGGGGAGAACTGCAGCACACAGATATCGCCGCAGTAGCAGTTCAATCACATCGCACAAAAGTTCGAGGTCAGTTATAAAAATAAAATTATACACACACACACATGCGTAGATATGCGACCGTTGTGTGTGTGTGTGTGTGTGTAACGTCAGCTCTCATTCGAATTTGTTTTGTATTAATTTTGCATGCGACAAAATGAGTTTCTTTGTCTTTGGCTGGCCACAGGATCGAGAGGCTTCGCTGCCCTGCTCATTGGCACAAAAGCCTTTGTTTCATGCCGGACGGGCGGGCCGTATACCCGCTCCTTTGGCCATTAATTTCATTCAAGTGGAAGTAGGCCACTGGAGTTCTGTGTAACGTGAGTGGCAGGGGCCAGAGGCGAATCCGAGATGCACAGCTCCTGCCTGCCCGCTGCAATTGTGTAATGCGAGACGGGGGCAATGACTCCAGCCTCAAGGATAATGGAAAGTTAACAGCGCAGTCGCGGCAAGTCGCACAAGTCTGACCACGGCTCCAGACGGCAGTGTTGCCAACTGCCACTGCAAAAAAAAAGCTAAAAATAGCCGAATCCGCTATCTGAGCAGCAACTAGCAATAAACAGGGTTGTTATACATATGCAATAAGATAACTAATTCAATTTGAAATTGCAATGCATTTGGGCTTGCTGCTCTGAAAACAGCTGGAATTTAGCTAGAAAACGGCCGAGATGGCAGCACTCCTACAGACAACAAGTAGGGGGGCGGGGGCAAGTCGCAGGAGCAGACTGAAAAACCGAAAGACCAGACCGGAATGCTGTTGAACTCAATTTTTAGTTTGCCGCCGCCGACGACGTCGCCGTCGCCGTCGCAATGAAATGAAATTTCGATCAATTCCAGAGAATTCATGCCACAGATTTGGTTCTGGTTGCAGCCGTTGCCAAAAGCCGAACCAAAGCCAAACTAGTTGGACGACTCGAGTTCAAGGATCCGCGACGTTAGCCGCGGCGGAGGCAACGGGTTCATTAACTTGTTTCCCTGCTTGGAGCTTGTCTTTTTTTTTATTTTTTATTTTTTGAATGCCGCCAGCATCCGCGCCGAGACAATAATGATCTTCGCTGGAAATGCGCGCACCCCTCGAGCTGTTTTTGTTGTTTGTGTGTGGCTGCTCTCGTTGGCGAAGGCGACAATGCCGCCGCCGCTGCCGTTGGCGGTGGTGCTGGTGCTGGTGCTGGTGGTGACTTAATTGCCGCACCCAGCGCCTGGTCATGGAGATTAACAAAGGAACATTTTGCCAGCCTGTCGCGGAATTGGTTTCAAAATTAAAGAAATGAAAAATAGAGCCAGGGATATGTTTTCGAAGGTCTAGCATTAACTCAAAGGTGGCATCCTTTAACCTATTTAGATACCCTGTAAATTTAAGTAAAGGATATATCATATGTGCGTATATGATTTTTAATGGACAGAAGTAGGCATAGTGTAGGATAAAGGAGTCCTTTCTGACTCCAGTACAGGGTATCAACATCAGCATCATGTTTATTTAAAACAATCGATAAATTATCGATAAATACCCGATCCGCCGAAACTAATGCAGGCTGCACATATGATAATTTTCCAAAAGTCGATTAATATCGATATTCATAAGAGATATAAACCATGCTGTATTTATGTAAAATGATCAATTTTTTCCCATTTGCCAGGTTTATCTAAAATCGATAAATATCGATATATTCATAAGGGATATTCGGTAATAAGCTCTCGTTTAGTAGATACAAAATCTTTTTGGATTCATCCAACTGTTCCCACCTAATTGAATGCCAATGAAATTGGAATTTATGTTACGACCGTTTAGTGTCTTGTAGAGTATTTCCTAGTCGAGTGCTCTTGTTTAGAGCCCTCTTCACTTGTTGCATAAAATGGGCTCGATTTATAGTTGGCGGATAGGGCAGTAACCTTGCACAAGGCGAAGTCGTTGTCGCTAGTGAATCACTTGGTCTGTGACTAATAATCAGAGGTCTGGCGAAAACGTTGAATGACTAAACCTGACATGGACAGAGAACAAGGCAGGGAGAGAATGAGAGAGAGAGAGGGAAATAAAACTAAGAATTTACATAGATAAAATGTTTGTATGTGCCCATTAAAGTAGATCGCTGAGCCCGGGTTATAGACACTTGGCATCCTCCGACTCCGCGGCTTTGGATAAACAGATTTGGGTGGCCAGGCAGGTAGTGAGGCAATCGTAGCGGGTGCAGCGTCCGAGGATTGAGCGCACATCCTGTGTGAATCGCAGGGCGTCCAGAAAGGGCAGCATGCAGAGCAGCTCGTCGTCCTTGGTGCCGATGCGATAGCTCTTGATGTGGACAGCATTGCCCACATTGAAGCTGTTCTCCATGTGACAGTCGTCCAGCAGCAGGACATTGGCCAAATCGCTGTGCGCTATGGACACAAACTTGGCCCGAATTCCGCAGATATTGATGCAATCCTGGCGATACATTCGCCGGTTCAATATATTCCGACCCGCGTCGAGAAAGTCTAAGACCCGCGAGGCATACATCTCCGTGGCGGCAGTGAAGACCACCAGATTGTACCACTTGGAGACACGATCCAGAAAGAAGTCCACATGCGGCCGCTTATAGACGTAGACGCTGGCCCCGGACAGGGGCAGATAGAAGGTGAAATCGTATGGAAGCGTGGCCACCAGGATGGACTTCGCCTTGTACTTGCGATGGCAAGCAGCGGCAGCATTCGCCTGGTAGAGTATCACAGATGCTATCAGGGTCTCGTCCATGTCCAGGATGAGCGTCTTGCGCCGCACCAGTCGGAGACGTCGCCGCGAGACTTGCGTCAAAATGTCATCCTTCAAATAAGTTATCGGCGTGTAGTTTATGGATTTGCAATGGAATTTCGCCAGCTGTGTGCGCAGTTTGTCTCGCAGCACGGGCACCGCTAGAATAATCACAGTAAGGAGCATGCCCAAGGTTCCCAGAAAGTAAAAACTGTAAGATACTCAAAGGGCAAAGGGGGGAAATAATAGACTGGCGGAGAGGTTACTCACTTCGTTGCCAGGAAATTATCCTGGTTTTCCATGTTGCTTTACGATTATTACAAAATATATATATATATAGGTATGTATGTATATTTACGAATCCAACCTGACTTGAGTTCCACAGTAAACTTGGCAAGTCAATCTACCCGATTCTACCCCTTCATTCTAAAGGTATTCGGGACCGGAGCACACCGCTCCCTGCCATGGGCCCAAAGCGAATGCAATTTTCTAATGCTCGATTCCGAACGGCGTAATCAAGACTTTTTATTTATGAACGGAACATAATACCCTAGCTTTCAGTCGCCTCAGTTAGGGCCCTAAAGCCGAAGCCCAAATGAATCACAGTGTATCGATCAAATCCATAATTACAATGAAAAATCAGTTTCGATATCCGAGCAGCTTGCCTCAGTCGTGATTCTGTCGTCTGTGTGGGCGAAAAAAACAGCCTCGAGACTATCCGACTTGCGGATACCCTCTAGCCAGCTCCTCATTGACTTGAAATGGTATCCGAAATGAAAAATATTCGCAATCCAGAATCTACGATCAAAACTAATTGTAGCCAGCTCTTCGAATCGTCGAAATGCCCAAAAAACATAGATATATCGATAACAATCGATATTTATCGAGTTCGCGAAAACAGGGAAGGTTTCGATAATTGTATGATGCAATTTATGTGTTCAATATGTATTCACAAATTGCAGACAGGATAAGGGCTTAACTGGCGACAGTAACAGAAAAAATCAGCCAAGAGTCTACCCGACTAGCAGACACCCTGTAGCCAGCTACATTTGTACTTCACATAGACTGGGAATGGTATTCGAACTGCAAAATATTCGAAATTTGTGTAACACTAGTCAAACATACAAATAAAACTAATTGCGTGCAGCTCTTCGTCCATAATCCCAAAAAACCTAGAATCGATATTTATCGATTTTGCAAAAACAACGAAGGATTTCGCTATTTAAGAGCTGCTGTTAAATAAGCAAATGTTTTCAAAACTGACAGACAGGATGGTGGAAGAGATGGCATAGCCGCAGTTCCCTATTCATCTGTCGCTTTCAATGAATGCAGGTTATCAAAGACACACATTCGGTTTTGCCTCCGGCTGGCAGTTATATATAAACATAATATACCCTTTTTTTATCGTTCTCAATGGATACAGGGTATTAAAAAAACACACGGTCGTCAAGGAGAAAACTGAAACGCCAGCCATGAAATGCAGCGCCAGCTAAAATATGTACGTTCCCATTCCCATTCCCATTCCCATTCCCATTCCCGTTCACGTTTCCAGCTATCGGAATATGACGCACTGTCAGTGGGGCCAGGGGCGGGGGCAGGGATGGAGTGGGTGGCGGTGGCGGACTTGATGCGGATGGGGGAGACGCTGACGGAAGTCGGCGACTGACGACGAGAAGCGACGTTATACAGTGTAAAATATTGCACTGGCCTTGGAGCAGCACGCACGACGAGGCTGCCTGTCAAGACGATTAACAACTGCAACAACAACAACAACTGCAACAACGGCAACTGTGTCCCTGGCCTGTGTCGTCCGGCAGGAGCTAAAATTAATGCACCATATTGTGCGCATCTGTTCATATACAACAAAGTACACACACATTCTCTGTGGCGTCTGCTGGTTGTCAACCGCAACCGCAACCGCAGCTCTTGCAGCTCTTGCAGCCCTTGCAGAAATGCGACAGTGAGTCAGCTTGGGAAACGTTTTAACACCCGCATCTGGACACATGTTGCTGCCTCGTGCGACTCGCCACAGTTGCAAGTGTTGCATTAACTCGCACGCGAATTCCTTGCGGTTGTGTCATTTGACAGCCAGATGACAACCGCATGAGAATTGCATAGAAAGGCTTGCCAGAGTACTGCTTGCTTAATGTTTATTGAAGCCAAGGTCTCTCTCTCTTCCTTTCCCTCAATAGAGTTTTGCCTCTAGATAAGCTAAATATGATATGATTCAGCAACAAGATGTGAGACAAGAATAATTCATTTAGATAACATCATAACTGCCAAATCCCAAGCTAAGTTAGGCAAATGTCAAATGCAATTGCCAAATTAACTGTTTGAACTCATAAAATTACGTATACGTGTCGTTAGCCCGAACCTGTTATAGCTATTTTTTGTTGTGCGCTTTAAGTTCAAATTAAACAATAAGTTGTTGTTGTTGTTGTGTGGTGAATGTGAATGCAAAATAAATTGCGCATAAAGTTTAATCACTTTGACTTTGCACACACACACACACACAGAGAGAGAGAAAGAGAGCGGGCGAGAGAGAGAGAGCGAAATAAGCGGCCGCTATCAAACGATAGCGCCAAAAAATAAAAACGCATAACAAAAGATTCTACGCAACACACACACACACACCAACACACACTTCCATATGTATGTATGTGTGGGCAGCGGCCAGTGCAAAAAACGCAGCAACAACAACAACAACAACCGGCAGAGACAGAGTCAACAACCTCCAGTGCATTACTCACTTTTAAAGACCGTGTGTGTCCTTCAACAAAAACGTATCGCCATCTCGCTTGCACGCTCGTTGCCATGTTTTGCTTGACTATTTTTGCTTTTTCTACAATTTATAATTAAACAATTTTTACTGGCCGTTGTTTTTGTTGTAGACTCTCCTTCTCTCCCGTCTCTCCTCCTTCGTTATCACAGTCCACACGTTGCCAACTCCAAAAGTAGCTAACCAAAAGTTTTGCTGTTGTTGTTGTCTTCGTAGTCTGAGCTTTGCACAAGTGTGCAGGAGCCGCTCTCTCGATGTCCCTCTCTCGCTCTCTCTCTCTCGCTCTCTCTTTCCTTCCTATCATCATTCAATCCACATTTCAGACTTGCTGTCGATTTTTGAAGCTGCTGCGCATTTTGGGCGAGATGAATAAACTTTAGTACGCCTGCGTGACCTGTTGTTGTTCTCTGCCTTTCGGCTCCACCCCTTGTTCTATCTCCTGCCCACGCACACAGGCGCAGCACATCCGCTGCCAAAACTTCTGTGTGCATGCGTGTACAATTGTGTATATGTATGTATGTACATATGTATATGCAAGTATTTTTGTGTGGATAGCAATGTCATTGACTGCAATTTGTTAGCAAAATATTTCAAGTGATAAATAAATTCTACATGAAGCTACATTCGATGCCAATGAACTCATTGCAAACTCTTCACCCAAAAATTGATGTTCTCCGGTTTTGGGCTGCAATTTGGTTGTTTTTTTTTTTTTTGTGGCTTTTGCAATTTGCGCCCCAATTGAAGCGTCAACAACAGACGGAGAAGTAGACAGAGACGGAGACATTGCCGGAGACTTCGCTCTTCTGATCGCTTATTCTACACAGGTTGGACACGCCGTAAACAAAGAATTTTTGTTTGTTGATTCTTTTTTATTTATGCATATACCCTGCACTTAAATTGAGTAAAAGGGGTATATTTAAGCTGTGCAAATATATGTAGCAGGTAAAGAAATATACAAATCTGAAGAGTATATAGTAAAATTAAAGCTAACGGCTAAAGTTGTAAATCTCAATGTGTGTTTTTTTTTAATTTTCCAATTTGTTAAAAAAAATCACAAATGATATTAAACTAAGCTTATATTTTTAATATAATCCTCAGCAGGGCAAAAACATGTACAGGCTGGAGAGTTTTAACTCTACATATGTATGTATACATGTGAGTAACGGCAGTTGGAAGCTATGTAGAGAATATTTTGCAATCGGGCACTCTCCACTAGAGCTCTTTTGTTTTAAATGCGTGTATTATTTTTATTTAAAAAGAAACAAGCGCAAAGTCGTTAAGTTCATTGCATTCGATCGCATGATAAAACAGGAACGACTGATATATGTAAATATGCATGTATGTATGTACATACATAAGCCTATATGAATATGTATTGTATTTAATCATAACCAGCGCGTCCATAGAGAGTTCAAGTTAATTTATCAACTTTACTGTTGTCGTTTTGGGCACATTCACACAATGTACACATACACATACATATACTCGAAATACCAGCTGAAATATGTAATATCGATAATTATGGTTTGATAACAGAAGAGAAAAATGTCCTATTCACTGCTTAAGCTGAACAGTTACATTGCCCAGCTAACCGTTAAAGTGCCCGCCTGTGTTGGTATGTCATCTGGCGCCTCTCCGGTTGCTTATTCTCGGTTACTCGAAAAGGGCATTAAGTTTCAGGTGCGCTCGGGTTACAGCAAAGTCGGTCAATAACTTGGGGACTGTTGCAAAACGTTTAAGTGACCACAACAAGAAAAACAGCAGGAAATTTGTTGTTTATTCCTTGATGAACTGCTTTTCACTTAAGTTTCAGATGCTGCCTTATTTTAGCTGACCGGTTTAATGAGTCGAACTTAATTTGCGCCCTCAGAAAAAGGCAGACAACACCCATGCAAGGCAGAACAGCAAAAACAGCAACAACACAAATACAACTACAAACATATCATACAATAAGCGGCAAGATAGACAGAGAGAGAGAGAGGAGAGACAGAAGCGACAACGACAACGACACGTCTGGCAATGGGTAGAGTGGGCGACGCAGGCTGTAGAAAGAACAGATATCAATGTGTGTGTGTAAAATCACCCAAAAAAAAAAAAGAAAAAACAAGCAAAACAATTGCCCAAAAAGCGAAGAAAAAACCGCAACCGAAACAACACAAAACAAAATGATGCTCAAGTAACTCATATTCATGTGTGCGTGTGTGCAGCAGCAGCAACAGCAGCAGCGCAGTCGCGATGTCGGCAGAGCCATCGCCATTGCCAATATAAACGACGATCGGAAGATGCAAAATGTTCATTCCGTCGTCGTTTCGTTTCTGTATGTACATATTTCGCTGGCCAAGAATTCGAATATAAAAAGTCAACAAAATAATAAAATGAAGCATACGAAAGCAGCGATCGCGCGCACACACTCACAGACACACACACACACACACACACACACACACACACACACGCACACACGTAATTCAACTTTTTTCTGCAACGCTGCGTGCGCCGCCATTGGCCGTCGACGCCACTGGAGAGTATAAAAGCTTAAACTCGCTTCATACTCGAGTTTATTAAAACCAAAACTGTGCGAGTGTCAAGATCGTTCGAGTCGAGAGTTGATTCAAATACATATCTATGAATATGCACAACTACAAAATTCTTGTGAAATAAG